AGAAAACCATTCCTTGCCTTGACTCTAGCTGTACCCACGGCAGGGTGAAAGTCAGCACAGAACCATGCTGGCTCCTAACAAGACCACTAATGCAACACTCTCCTCCAAGTACTCCACAGTTCAACTTAGCAATGCTCAGTCACAAAGGAGGCAACGATTAGACACAGTTTTCTACCTTCTCAGATGTCTTCAGAATTAACCCCCTTCTGCCTTAAGTTTTCATTGAAATCAAGATATCTTGAGTTCTACTCTCCTAGACCCTCCCTAGACTCTTGGACTGAAACCCATCAGGTTCTGGATATTCTCCAATCTTACCCAAGGCTCCCTACTACCCAAGGTTTGCATTTTGCACCCTGCAACTCTGATATCTACAAAATCTCCTGAATTCCCCATCACTCCTTCGGCTGTTTCCGTCCCCTTCTTGACCTAACAGAATCCTGGCTGCTCCACAAGGATACAGCTTTCTCAACACCTGCAATATCCCCCAACCCATGATAGCTACCTAGGAATTGCTGAATATAAAAAAGACTCATAGCATCATTAATAACAGCTTAGACTCTGGGCAAAAAAAATATGAGAGACTCAGATGCTGATATCATGTGTAAATGACTTGTCCTCAGATCTGGTGAAAGACTATGGCTTAAGATAATGATTACATATTGATTTCAGATTCATTAGCCAAGCAATTGGAATCCTAATCATAGCCTCCATGCAAAAATTAATGATAAAAGAAAAGACATTGCATACTAAACTTCATCAGACACTCACTTGAAAAAATAAGAGCAAGTGTGAAAATCATCAAAAGGTAGAACATAAAGACAAATACAGAACAAACAAAAAAGACATAGAAGTTTATGGAAACATAGAAGGCAGTGTTCTGCAGCAGTGGTCAGAAGTAAAACCAATCAATCCTCATTAATTAACCGAATTTGTTCTGAATTCAACTGGGATAAAGAGAACACATTTTACGATGGAATGTGGAGGAGCATGCAGATATGTGAAGAGAGAGAACACAAGGAGGGATTGTAAGTCAAAATGAGAAGAAACAGGGGCCAGCATTGTGGCATATGGGTAAAGTAGCCGCCTGGAGTCCCAGCTCCTTCACTTCTGATCCAGCTCTCTGCTTTGGCTTGGGAAAGCAGTTGAAGATGGCCCAAGTGCTTCCTGCACCCATGTGGGAGACCTGGAAGAAGAAGCTCATGGCTTCTAGCTTCGGATCAGGCCAGCTCTGGCCTTCGCGGCCATGTGGGGAGTAAGCCCGTAGATGGAAGATCTCTCTCTCTCTCTCTCTGCCTCTGTTTCTTTGTAACACTGCCTTTCAAATAAATACATATCTTTTAAAAATGAGAAGCAGGCTGCAGATAGGGATAGGCAAATTTGGTTGCCCTAAGAGGGCAAAAGAGAAAAATCACTGCTGGTATCTGAACAAGTAGATCAGAGGAGAGAACATACAGAACTTCCCAGGCCTGACTCCCAAATATCATGGCAACACAACCCTATATTCTCATTATGGATGAAAGAAAAGTCCGAAGCATATGTTAGCTACAGCATTTGGGTCACAGAATCACCAACTCCTTCTAGCCATGCTGGAAGAAGTCCTGGGGAGTGATGTGAGAGTCAACTGGCAAATAAAAGACAAGCTGCTAATGTAAGGGTAACACAAGGTGCATAAGAGGGCTTATATTCCAGCTGCCTTCATGTTAGGCAACTCTTAGATGCTGTGGATCAGTTCATATATATAAGTTGAATGTTTAGAGATAAATTTTATCACACTTGTCACAAGGATCCTCAATGTCATTGATCACTGGTGTGTAGGAAAATGACTGTTCAAATCTTTTACTAGGCCTACTTTGTAGCTGCTGATTTTCACGAAATAAATACCCCCATTGGGGCCAATCTGAACGATGACTAGTGGGCTCTGTGAGTCAGTACACATTTAACTGGTCTAAACTGGCACTGGCACAGACACCTGTTTAAAGCCCTTCGGAAGACTCCGTGTAGCCAGGCGAGAGAACCATTAGCTACTTGAGTTCTTGTCAGACTATAATATGCAAATGGATTACCTGGTGATCTAGTGAACAGGTGGGTTCTGACCCAGGAGGTGTTGATGATCCCTAGCAAGAGATACATGTGGTCTGATAGAAAGCCAGTCTTTTACAGCCCAACCACTGTCAGGGATTTCTGACAAGGCGAGACTTTGCAGAGAAGTCACAAACTCAGAGTCCTGAATTATTTTTCTTTTACCCAATTCCACTTTACCTGTTCAATTTCAGTTAGAAGCCAACAGAAGTCCGTACTCTCAGCGTTTCTCCATGGGGGGTGGCAAGTGGAGAAAGAAACAATATCAACCTCTAGAGAAGATGTGACACCACTAGAGCCCTGCCCCCAGGGCCACAGCCACTGCCACCACCACCTCAGCCACCCCTGCAGGCAGCTATCCAGCCTCTATGGAGAGGGGAGAGTCTTCTTTTTGCTACTTCTACCTCCTGGTGATCTTCACCTTCTCCCTAAAGGCATCTGAATGGCATTCACATTTTAGGTTTCCCATCATTTCAATATAAATTCTCTTCCCCAGTTACACTAACCCACCTCTCTGCCTCATTTCCCACTATTCCCCACACATACACTGTTGGTGAACTGCCTTACACAGTGTTCTTAGAACCCATCATCTTTCTTTCTTTCTTCTCAACTGTGGATATGATCCCAGAACACACATACTCCATTCCTCTCTGCCGAAAGCAGTCTCAGCTGTTCTTCAAAGCACAGCTTGAATAAACACCACCCACTTAGGGACTCCTTCCTGATTTCCATGTGCCTATGCCAAAGCAGATCCTCTTCTATAAAATCCTATTCTTGCTCATCAAAGGTATCTCTTATTCTCTGAGGCCTTCAAGAGTGAAGACGAGATTTATTCATTTCTGCATTCCCAGGCTACAATGGTTTGCCATAAAGAACATTGTCAGTAGCTTTATAACATAAAAAACTATATGCGCTAATTTTCCCTGTTAAATTACATTTCTCTGGAACTCCCTTTTTTAATTTATCAAGGAATTCTGTAATTATTATTCTACTCTATAACATGTAACTTGATTCTCTTTCCATACCTAGCCCCAGCCTCTCTGCAGGCTCTCTCCTCTTCTTTGGTCCTAGATTAACATTAAGACACTCCAGTTAAACACTCCATGAAAATAACTAATACTGTAGGATTTCATGGTTTGACTAAATTTTTCTAAAGCGTTTTCACAGACACATTTTATGCTCTCATTAACCCTACAAAACACACAAGCAACACATTACCCTCTCTTGGTATTTCCAAGCTCAAGTGAAATGTTCCCCCACGAAGAGGATGTAAGGAGAAGAGAAATCTTGAGACCAACCTTGGCAGTGCCTACAGAAGCCTTGGAGATTCACTCTGTGGCCCTCTGGGTACCATTCCTCAGAACAGCTGGCTGCTAACATGTCTGCCTCACCGTACTGTCCAACTTCTCTAATCCCTAATGCTTTATTGAACACATGAAACTCAGGCATGCAGAATTAATGTGCATTAGAACCAAAGTAGTCTTCCAGGTCTTCGGACACACTTCATTTAGTCATGTTCACCTTTTCCAATGATGCTAAAATCATCCAGCAGTACACACAGACTTCACACCACTGCCTTCACAAACAGGTACAACATAACTGTTGCTTCTCTTTCTTAAAAAACAAGTTTGTGATGATCAAAACACTGTTCTCCCACTAATTCTATTGAGTTGGTTGCACTGGACAATTTTAAAATGCCCAAACGCAAAGACTTAATCTGAGTGTATAAGAAGTCCCATAACAATTTACAATATCCCACATTCTGTGTCATTTTCAAGTCAAGGCTATTGTGCTCCATGTTTAATGTTCTTTTGGGAAATACTTACATTATAAATGAGACGGGAACAGGAGATTTTAGTATCTTGACCCAGGAACAATAACTCAATGTAGGTTAACAGGTAAGAAACAAACAAACAAAAAAAAAAACCCAACCAACCAAACAAACAAAAAACACGCCAGAGAAATAAGTGCGGATCCCACTTAGAATGGCGGTGACAAAGCAGCCCTCTGAGAGTTCAAAGGTTGTAAATGACAGAGCCTGAAGGAATAAGGTCTCCTTTGTCTCATATTCCCAACTACTTTCTGAGAATTTTGAAGTATCCACAAGGATACATACATCTGTGTAAACGGGGCACATCCCCCAGCTCCTCACCAAGGTGCTCTGTGAGCAGCGGTGAGGATACCTCAGGAAACACTCTAGCAGTCTCTGAAAAGAGCTGATTTGGAGAAGCACAGCACCTATTCTTTCCCCTAGTGGTTACACACTCCTAACCCAGTGGCTCTCTCCTGCTGCCTCTCTAAGGAAAGAGAATAAATTCTGGTGGGGATATGCCTTCTGTGCCCTTTTGTTTGTGTGACTTCACATGACTTTTCAGAAGAGCTAATCCAACACATTTTTCCACAAATGGATTCTATTTGTTTTAAAAAGTTTGTGGGTCCATATATATTCTTGTACTTACTGGTAGCCACACAAGCAACTGGAAAGCCACTGGAAGTTAGGGGAATGAGAGAAATGAGATTTTTAAATCAAATTTAAAAAAATTATTTGAAATGTTTTACTTTCATTTTAAAAAATAGGGGGCAAAATCTGGCAATGATGAGAATGGGAGCAGAAATAAGTGGGAGAGAGTGCGACTCCTCACCTCACTTTCGGGACGTTTTCAAAATCTTTCTCTGACCCGTGCCTCTCCGGGACAAGGAGGAAACGCTGGACCAAATGAGAACTGACACCCCCCCACCCCACCCAAAATAACTTATCTCCAAGTGACCACAGGTGGGAAAGTTCTAAGAAAAGGCACAGGATGCATGTCTTACGGAGGGAAGTGTCAGAGAGGAACAAGGGTGGTGTGTGAGCGCAGAGTGTGCTGTTGGGGACCCCAGAGCGCGGGTTCCTGGCCAAGGAGCGTGGAGCCAACTCTTACCCCCCAGCCAGTTGTCGGAGATGTTCTGGAGCATGGTGACCGGGATACAGAAGAAGGCGATGAGCAGGTCGCTGAGCGCTAAGGAGCAGATGAAGATGTTGGTGACGGTGCGCATGGCCTTGCTGCGGGTTACCACATAGACCACCAGCGCGTTGCCAAAGAGCGCCAGGGCGAAGATGAGCACGCCGGTCAGCACCAAGGCCAGCTTGGCGCGCCCGGGTAGCTCGGGCGTGTACACCAGCGGCCGCAGCCCGTACAGCGCGATGAACTGCTCGCGGGTAAGGTTGTGGTCCCGCAGCAGCTGGGAGAACCGCTCTGGGGTGATGTTGAGCGCCTGCATGCCGTGTTTTCGCCACGGGCCGTAGCACCGCTCCCTAGTGCCTGTCCATCCGCGTCTGGGCGCAAGGTACACGGCGGGGTCACCAAGCCGGCAGCCGCTTCACTCCCGCGGCGGCGCCCAGCTGCACCTGCAGCTTTGGAAGCAGGAAAGTGGAGACGGGATCCAGCGGGAAGTCAAATCACCGCACACTGAATCCCACTGACCAAAAATGTTTGCGGTTTAAAGAAAGTTCTTCTCCCTCCCCAGGTGAGCGCTGCGCCCCTGCGAGGCCGGGAGCGCCTCTGGTTTCTGGCCAGGCAGTACCGGGCGCTCGCTCTGGGAGAGGCGGAGGGTGGGGCTGACCTGGGCCACCGCCACTGAGCTCCTGGCTCCCGCAGTGCGTGCACCGCTTCCGCGCCCCTCCCTACAAGCAAGGGAAGGCAACCGCAGTCTCCACCTTTCTGATATAGGCACCTTTCTGTTCTAAGAATGCCTTTGAACAGCCCTTTTTCTCCACTTTTGAGGAACAGTCTTTTTTTTTTTTTTCATACAATTTGTTGAAGCCTTTACTTAGTACCGTTAATTCTATGTGTATAAAGTTAATTGAAAATTGATCTTAGCAAAAAATAAGAATGGGAATAGGAGAAAGAGGAGGTAGAGGGGTGGGAGGGTGAGTATGGTGAGAAAAATCACTATGTTCCTAAAGTTGTATTTATGAAAAGCATGAAGTTTGTATTCCTTAAATAAAAGGTTTCTGGGGGGAAAAATGGATAGTGGGCTCTCCCACGGTCTCATGGTTTCTCTTTTTGAGAAATAGTATGGGCCACAGCTACCCCAGGCACAAAGAGGTTTTATTCATTTTCTGTAGTTTAACATAATTTTTGCATGTAGAAAGTTGCCAAGAGAGTAGGGTGAGGTCTTGTGGAGGTTGCCCCGTTGGTTACGTGCTGCTACCCGGAATTGCACGTAGGTACGATGCGGCTGTGGAGTTCTGCCTCACTGTATGTAACTACCACCAAAATTAAAACTCTTAAATAGCCACAAAGATCTCCCTCCTGCAACCTCTTTATAGGCAGTCCAGTCCCTCTTTCTACCAAATGTAACTCCTGGCAGTTACTAATCTGTTCTCCATCTCTAGTCTTTTCCCACAGGGTATGTAAAAGGAATCATATCCTATGTAACCTTTTGATATTTTTTTTCATTCAACATAATGCCCTTTAAATTCATTCACGTTGTTGCCTGCATTAACAGCTGTTCCTTTTGTGTCTGGCAGTGCAGCACAGTCTACTTAACCATGCACCTATTGCAGGACATTAGGGTTATTTCCAGACTGAGCTTTTTACAAGTCAAGCTGCTGTACAGAACCATGTGCAGCGTTTTGTGTACACAGTCTTTTTAAAAATTATTTATTTATTTGAAAGAGTTGCACAGAGAGAGAGAGGGAAAGAGAGAGAGAAAGATCTTCCATCCACTGGCTCACTCCCCAGATGGCCCGAATGAGTGGGTCTGGCCAGGCTGGAGCCAGGAACACCATCAGGGTCTCCCATGAGAGTGGTAGAGGCCCAAGCACTTGGGTCATCTTCTGCTGCTTTTTCTAGGTCATTAGTAAGAAGCTGGGTCAGGAGCAGAGCAGCGGGGACACAAACCAGTGCTCATTCGAGTTACCTGCAGCTAGCATGGACTTTACCCACTGCAGCACGATGGCAGCTGGCCCCTATACAGTTTTCATTTAAATGTAAAAGGCCAAGAAATTCAGTTGTTGAGTCTGTGATGTGTATGTTTAATTTGCAAGAAATTGCCAATCTACTTTCCAAAATGGCTTTAACACTTGACCTGTCTGCCAGCAATGCATCAGAGATTCAACATCTCCATATCCTTGCCAGCACTCAGTAGTGTTATTTTCTTTTTCCTTTTCTGCCATTCTAATAGGTGTGCAGTGACACTTCACTGGGGTCTTATTTTGCCTTTCCCTAGTGGCTACGATATTGAACTTCTCCTGTGTCTGTAGACCATCAGTGCCTCCTTCAATGATATGTCTTCTGAGGATTTTGTCCATTTTCTCCTTGAATGATCTGGTTCATTTGCTGTCAAGTTGGGGTTCTTTTTAGTTTTAAGACTGGTTTCTCTTACTTTACTCTTAGTTTTCAAAATTATTGGAGCATCTGTAGTCTCCATGCTTAGTCATACAATTTTACAAAAAGCTTGTCTATGTGTACAGAATCCTTGCTGGGATTTTGATTGGAACTGACATCTTTACCACGTTGAGCAGATTGTTTCTCCAAATATGTGGGGCCCTCAGAAAGTTCTTGGAAAGTGCACATTATTAAAAAAAAAAAACTAGGCACAGAATTCAAACTTTTTACACTAAAATAATCTTACCTTCTAATTTCATAATGCATTTTTTAAAAGATTAATTTATTAATTTGAGAGGTAGCATTACAGAGAGAGAGAGTGAGAGACAGAGAAAGGTCTTCCATCCAGATTGGTTTACTCTCCAAATGTCTGCAATGGCTGGAGCTAGACCAATCCAAAGCCAGGAGCTAGGAGCTTCTTCTGGGTCTCCGATGTGGGTGCAGGGACCCAAACACTTGGGCCATCTTCTACTGTTTTGACCAGGCCATACCAGAGAGCTGGACTAGAAGAGGAGCAGCCAGGATAGGAAAATTGGGATGCTGGCACCACAGGTGGAGGCTTAGTTTACTACTTAGTGTACTTAGTGTACTACACTACATCACCAGCCACCATAATTCAAATTTTACTTCCTTTTTGAAGCACACTTGTATTTTAATCTTCTTTGGTTTATTTCAAAGGCATTTCTAGTTTTCATCATATAAGTCCTGTACCTAATTTGTTAGATTTGAACCTGAGTATAGTCATGCATTGATTAATGATGTGGATATGGTTTTGAGAAATACATTTAGGGAATTCCATCACTGTGCAAATATTGTATCAATCCTTTAATGTGGCTTTTTCATGAAAACATTAGATGTATAAATGTATGAGGTTGCTGCTGCCAGATGTAACACAGTATCCTGTTTTACAGTAAACTTTTACTTATTATTATAAGCAGGAGTATACTCTAAAATGAAGATTAAAAGTATTAAATTATGCATACATAAGTCAGTAGCATCAGTACTTATTGTCATTATTAAAGATCATGTACTGCACATAATTGTATGTGCTATATTTTCATAAGAGTGGCAGTGCTGTAGGTTTGTTTACAGCAGGATCACTACAAACACATAAAATGCATTAAGATACTAAGTTACAATGGCTACCATGTCACCACATGATGGGAATTCTTCGGCTCCATCATAATCTTATGGGACCAGCATTGTATATGTGGTCCATCATTGATTGAAATGTCACTATATCGTCCATGATGGTAGCTTATTTGTTTGGAGCATTTACATACAGAATTTTATTTGTGTTCATGACTACCATATAGAAATGTGATTTATTTTGTATGATGATACTGAATCCTGCAATGCTAATAAGCTCAACATTCAGAGGCTTATTTTTGTAAACTTCTTGAGAATTTTCTACGTAGACACTCATGTCATCTAAGAAGAGGGGCAGTTTTATTTTTTCCTTTCTGACTCATGTATATTTTATTTCCTTTTTTTTCTTTATTGCAATGATTATAGAGAATCCATTACTGTCTTGAATGACAGTGATGAGAGTGGACATCCTTGCCTTTTCCCCAGTGTTAAGGGGAAGTATTTAGTTCTCTTTTGTAATTAAGCATGACATTAGTTGCAGAAGTTCCTTATAAAATTGAGAAAGATCCTCTCTAGTCCTAAATTGTTTAGAGAGTTTATGAATGGCATTGGATTTCATCAAACATTTATTCTGCACCAACTGACATAATCAGGTGGTTTTTCTTCTTCAGTTTGCTAATGTGGTGGATTATATTAATTGACTTTTGAATACTGAATCAACCTTTAATATCTGAAATAAGTCCCAGTTGGTCAGGGTCTATAATCCCTTTTATAATTGCTGGATTCTATTAATTATACATTTTCATAATTTCTGAGTCTCTCTTAAAGGATATTTATTATTAAGCTTTTTCTTTTTGTACTTATCTGATTTGGTTATACAAATAATAATTGATTCCTAGAATGAATTAGGAAGTGCTCCCTCTGATTTTGTTTTCTGGAAAAGATTGTGTAAAATTTGTGTTAACTTTTCTTTAAATGTCTGCAAGAATTCTTTAATAATGCCATCTGGACCTGGAGGTTTTTTTTTTTTTTCAGAAGTTAACTCTTTCTTCCTTCCTTCCTTCCTTCCTTCCTTCCTTCCTTCCTTCCTTTGACAGGCAGAGTTAGACAGTGAGAGAGAGAGACAGAGAGAGAGGTCTTCCTTCCGTTGGTTCACCCCTCAAATGGCTGCTATGGCCGGAACTGTGCTGATCCTAAGCCAGGAGCCAGGTGCTTCCTCCTGGTCTCCCATGCAGGTGCAGGGCCCATCCTCCACTGCCTTCGGAGAGCTGGCCTGGAAGAGGAGCAACAGGGACAGAACCAGTGCCCCAACTGGGACTAGAACCCGGAGTACCGGCATCGCAGGCAGAGGATTAGCTTAGTGAGCTGTGGCACCGGCCCTCAAATTATTTCATCTATCAAATTTCAGTGTATAGAATTAGTAATAGCATTCTCTTATTATCCTTTTAATATCTGAAGTGTTTATGATTCGCTAATTTTTATCTCTTCCTCTACCATCTTGTTAGAGGCTTGGCAATCTTAATGATGTTTACAAAGGACCAGTTATTAGCGTTAATGATTTTCTCTATTGTTTTTCCACTTCAATTTCATTAATATTTCCTCTTTTCCTTGTTGTTTTCTTCCTTATACTTGTTTTCAATTTATTTTGCTGCTCTTTTTATAGTTTCTTGGAATGGAATCGTAAATTATCCACGCAAGTCTTTTCCTGCTGTCTAATGTAGGCACTTAGTGCTACAAATTTCCCTCTTGGCACTGCCATTGATATGTCTCACAGGCTTGGATACATTATATTTACATTTTCACTCAGTTCAATGTATTTTTAATGCATTTTAAATTTTTTGTTGATCCATCAATTATTTTAAAATGTTAGTTTTCAGTGTTTGATAATTTTTCTATCTGATTTCAGTTTGACTCCACTGTCGTCAAAGAACATAATCCATATGATCATTGTCCTTTTCAGTGTGTTTTATAGCCAGGGATATTATCTTTTTTGGCATGTTCTCCATGGACATTTGAAAGGAATAGATATTGTGT